TGCGCGGGGGGGGGGAGGCACCGTCAAGAAGCGGCCAGATGCGTCTGGCCACGATCAACGTCACAGCTCTGAATGCCGCCAGGCTGGAGGAGCTGCTCACGCACGACGACCTGAGAGAGGTGGACTTCCTTGCCCTGCAGGAGGTACGCCTACAGACGGAGAAACCACGGTGGGTATCGGCCACGGCTCAGAGACTGGGTTGGAGATGTGCTGTTGGTGTACCGCCTGGGAAGAATGCGAAGTCAGTAACTATGCAAGGGGGGGCCGCTCTATTTTGGCGGCCCCGAGTTGGTGGAGTCAAAGTTTTTCGATCGGAGAGCCACAGGTACATGGGCGTACGTGGAGCTTTTGGTACGATTGTATCCGCATATGGACCTGCCTCGGTCCCAAGCACTGAATGGATGGATGAAGTTTTCGACTGGACTAAAGTTATCGCTGCAGGAAAGCCCTGGATCATTCTTGGAGATTTGAACTGGAGGCAATCTTATCAACAGTGTGTACCGATTCATGCGACTGTATGCCAGATGACGGCGCCGACAACGCTGGCAGGGACGTTTCCGACCAGAGTCTGTGCCTCGGGTGCTGCCGTTCAGCATACTTCTACGGTCTTTGTGCAAGGTATCCCGTATCATGGCCTGGTTCTGTGTACGACATCCTGGAGTGCGATGGCGGGACCTACGACGAGACTGAAGCGGACATCGATTTTTGAGCTGGATCAGAGTACTCTGGTGTTACCTCAGGATGTTGAAGCACTGCGGTCAGACGTGGACCAGACCTTACCTATGCTGGGGGGGACGCACACGATGACGCAGAGATGGGCACGCTGGCATGCACGGGCCAACCGTGTGATGGAGCTGGGGGTCGAGTCGGGCATACTCATACGTAGTGGGAGTGCCGAGAGACCCAAAGGATCGATCCCAGAAGAAAGGCCTGTTGCATCGACGCCGAAGCGCAGGCCGAACGAGCCCATCATCTTGTCAAGACTGAAGAAGTTGGGCCGTAGCGTTGCTGAGCAGTTGAGAAGGAACCCACCGAACACGAAGTTGGAGGGCCACCAGCTCGTCGTTTTCATTGAGTTGTGCCTGCGGCATGTTATTGATAATGGATGTGCTGGCCTACCGAGCTTGGGCCGTGCACATGACCGAGTATCCGAGGCGATTGCAAAGATGGAGCGACGCCTGAGGGCGGAGGACAGTTCCTCTTGGAAGCAGATTTTTGCCAAAGAAGTTATCGACCCTGAGTGGTGGAGGGCAGCGAGTTCGGTCATGCACGACCCGACGGACTGCCCCGCCTTCACAGCTGACGACATGTCCGAGGAGTGGCGGAAGATCTGGCGCCCCGAGGACTTCAACGGCGAGGCATGTTCGACATCGTGGGTGGAGCATGCTCGGCGGATGCGTCGCCCCCTCCCTCGGAGCAAGGCCCAGGCGGGCTGGAGTCCGAGTTGGGAGCAGTTCCTGCGAGCCATCGCTCGAGGGAAAGGAAGCGCCGGCTATGACGGCTGGACAGCACGAGAGCTGAAGATGATGGCCGTGACTTTCGAGTTCCTAGTGCAGGATTTGTACGACCTCTGGCTGGACACGACGAAGTTCCTGGGCGCCAATGGCTTGTTCAAGACCGTCCCCGTGGAGGAGAGGCCCGAGGATGTGGTGAACTTGCAGAGGCTACTTTTTTCTTGGAGAGTTGTGGGTATTCCGAAGAAGTGCGGAGCATCCCGACCGATTGGGGTGGCGAGTGTACTATTGAGAAGCTGGTTGACAGCATGTGAAGAAGCTTTCCCGTCCCCGCAGGCTGCCCAGTACGCCTGCAAGACGGAGTCATCAGTGTGCCAAGCTGTGTGCAGTTGGTTGAAGGCGTGCGTCACTGCCCAGGCGGGCATGGAGCGTGACCTCAGCAAGTGTTACGACCAGGTGCCCCACGAAGTGGGGATTGCTTCGCTTCATGCCGCTGGTGTACCGTCAGATCTGGTGGCGGTGTCTTTTGCTGCGTGGACGGGGCCGAGGAGATGCCAAGTGGCCGGCGCTCTGGCCAAGGAAGAAGTATGGCCCTCGCGAGGGCTGGCGCAGGGAGACTCCTGTGCGCCCAAAGTACTCTGCTCCGTCCTAGCCCCGTGGGAGGTCGAGGGTGAGCAGTTTTTGTTCATGGACGATCGTTCGCTGGTGTGTGCATCGGATCAACAGTTACGCAACGACATCGACACGACTGACCGCTTCGACCTGGAGACGGGGGCCGTGGAGAATAAAGGTAAGCGACAAGAGTGGCATCGTGGAGAGTTTCGCCGTATCGAGCATATTGGAGTCGAAGCGGTGCCAGATGATCCCACGGCCCCCGTCACCCCAGCGGGAGGTTGGAGGAAGGTTTACGCAGCTATCGCCGCGTTGCGACAGCTCCCAGGAAGCTCGAGGACCCGACTACGTGCTGCAGGTGCATATGTTGTACCGAGATGGCTCTGGTGCTGTCCTGTGTTCATGCTGCCACCTGCTGATGTGGCGGCGAAGCTTATGAGTTCAGTGTTACGTACGAGGTGTGTATGGTGGTGCCGAGGGCGGTTCTGGGCCCTGCATATTCAGTACCATCCTGTTTTTTCGAATGTCTTGACGGCGGCTCGTCGTCTTACTGATTGGGAGATCGATTTCAATCCCTGGGTCGAGCACAACCTGCAGAACTTCTTCGAGGCCGTAGGCTTGGAGTACGTGCAGTACGATGCCGAGAGGGGGATCAGATTTCAGATGTCGGAGGAGGAAGATGATCCGAGAGTGAAGCGTATCTTCCAGAACCGTCGTGGGTTTTGGACCACTGAAGGAGAGCGAGCATTTCATGTTCTACGTGCTATATGTCGGCTCAAAGCTTTGACAAAGGCGACGGCAGCACGACGAGATTTCCCTGGTATGGAGGATGTCGATGTGGAGGCCCTCTCGGGCAAAGCGTGGAAGAAGTTTCGGGGCTCACTCGCACCTTGCGAGTGGCAAAAAGTGATGATATACATGTGTGGTGCGGCCAGCTCTCATACGCGAGGAGGAAATCATGATTTTACTTGTGATCCGTATTGCCCGTGCTGTGGTGAGGCCTTCTGGCCGTCTGTGCGTCACTGCGTGACGGAGTGTGCCGCCTTCGCGGATTTCAGGACGCAGTTGTCTGAGTTCTACACCGTACCCTTGAGCTGGTGGACGTCTCAACCGAGAGTTACGTCATGTTCGGGGTGGATTACGTACGGTGCACATCGAGTGGCAGAACGCAGGTCAGAACTCATGGTGATGCCAGTCCGAATGGGGATGTACTATGTGGCGACCGCCAAAGGTATGCGACGACCTGAGAGATCATACGCCAGGGGCCGACTCTTACCGTGAGATATTTTTCTTGCTAAAGAGTTGTGCTATGAATGCAAATGTCGAACGGATCTTGATCTGATCTTGATGTTATGTTTGCTGGGATTATGTTGCTGTGCTTGTATTTCCACATCCTGATCTTCGAGATATTCTGATGTCTTGGAAAGTTACAGTTACGATTATCTTGGTATCTTGACGTATATCCAGGTTCTAACCTACGATCGGTTGTTCCTGAAGTACACAAAACCCTCCTCCAAAACTGCTCCGAAAACGGAGGTTGTTGGGCATGCAGATCGCCAAACCGCTCGAGACATCCCAGCCATTTTGGCGCGAACGGATGCCGTGAGATATCCCTGGCGGCCCCCGCTTAAAACAGGCAAGCCGATCGAGACATCTTCAAAACCTGACCCCTTGAGGGCGAACATGAACGCCTCGCTCGAGACATCCGCCAAATCGGCTCCGAAAGCGGAAGATGTTGGGCCAGGAAGCAGGCAAACCGCTTGAGACATTCCAGCCATTTTGGCGCGAACGGAGGCCGTGAGATATCCCTGGCGGCCCCCGCTTAAAACAGGCAAGCCGATCGACACATCTTCAAAGCCTGGCCCCCCTTGAGGGCGAACATGAACGCCTCGCTCGAGACATCCTCCAAATCGGCTCCGAAAGCGAAGGATGTTGGGCCAGGAAGCAGGCAAACCGCTCGAGGCATCCTCGCCATTCTGGCGCGAACGGAGGCCCCCCTGGCGGCCCCCCCTAGGGGTGCGAAAACCAGCAGACCGCCTGAGACATACCACAACACATCATAGCATAATATAACATACTATGGCATAACATAACATATCATACCAGACCAGACCAGACCAGAGCATCACACAATATAACCTTACATACCATAGCAGAGCTCAAACCATTACATAGCATAGCATACCATGACATTTCAGAACCTAACATGAGGAGTTCATACTCTGAGTATGATGGGGAAGAGAGGCAGGAGGGGAGGAAGAGGAGGAGGAGGAGTGAGGTCCGAGGCGTCTAAGGAATAACACGAACCCCATCTTAGGATATGGGGAATCACTAGAATCCCCCATCGTAAGTCTGCGATGGGGAAATAATGATCATAATACTGCTCCTCTTCCTCCTCCTGCTCCTCCTCCTCCTCCTCCTCATCCTCCTCCTCCTCCCCCCTCTCCCACCCTTAGCTTGTTGCCCTGAGAGAAGCACTTCGCGCTCCGTTTCGCGCCCCACCTAGTGGAGGCCTCGACGCAGTCACCGTTTGCGCCGGCAAGCGGTTATACGAGTCGGCAGCTTCCTGTCTTGTGGCAAGTGCGGGGGCTCCACGTGCGGTAGGGCTAAGAAGTGTTGGCCGCTTGCGCAGGAGAGCCAGTGAGCTCTGAGATGAAACCATGGGTTGCTGTCCGTTTCGCCGTTTGGCCTGACGTCGGATAAGTTTCGGCACGCATTGCAAATGTTACCACCTGTTGTTCCAGCAGGAAGCAGGATTGGGAAGCGCTTCTTACTCCCTTTCCGCTTCCTTCTCGTCCTTCCCTCCTCTCATCGTCTCGCAGGCATGTGGTCAGTGGCGCGGCTTGGCGCGGCGGCCGACTATCCTGCGCAATTGAGGCATAGCCTGCCGAGCGGGAGGCACGGCCAGGCTTGGGCACGCAGGGCCTTCGCTGTATGGCGCCGTTTGGCACGACTGCGCCGTCGGCCCGTGCGCGTCTACGATGGGCCACACTCTTGTTCATGTCCATCTGTGCTGTGCGCCAGGCCTCGAGTCTTGTAAGTAGCACTGCCCGGGGGGGGGTGATCATCACCTGTGTTTTTTCGTTGCACGTGTTCCTGCTGTTCCTGCCACTCCCGCCCGTGCCTCTTCCTCGCGGTTGTGGCAACGTGGCTCGGCGCTGGCAGTGCAACACCCAGCGTCGCCGTCCGAGGCTCCAGCGGCCAACCCCGCAGCTCCGGTTCCAGCTTGCAGAATGGGTTCGGCCTGTGCTGGTGTCGAACTGGATGGCTTCGCTTCGGGTTGACCCACAAGGGGGTCCAGTGACAAAGGGGGGGCGTCCTATAAATTTGGTGCAATCGATTTGTGGGGTTGCAGGACATTTGGGGCGCGCAGTACATTCCAGGGCGCAAGTATCTTGCTGGACGTTCGCGTGCAACGCATTACTTGCAATACAATGCAATACAATTCTCCGGCGCAATACATTGGCAATACAATTGCCCCAAATTTTTTGCACCACCCCCTTTCAGCTGGACCCCCTTTAGGGTCACCCAAACTCGCTGCTCCAAGCTGATCCTCTGACGCTCCGCGTATTCCCGTCGGCCCCTCCAGCAACGGTGCCCAGGCGGTCAGCCTTGGTCAGGGAGACGCAGGGAGCATGCAGTGGAACAGAGCAGAGGAGGCGGCCGTCAGGTCGAAGCTCGGGATGAGCCTGTGGCCGGACCCATGAGCAAGAGCCAACTATGAAGGTCGGTGCGCATGTTTTCGATATTGCTGCCTCTTTGAAGGCTTGGTGCCATCGTCGGGCGCTGTTAGGGCCGTTCTGGATGTCTTTGGGGGCTCTCTTTGGGCCCCTCCAAGAGGCCTTTGGGGCACCCTGCTCTTTTGGAAGACATCGGTCAATAATGGTTGCGATATCACAGAGCCTCGCCCCGTCGGGGCCTGACAAATCGTCCCTCGGGGATGCTGATGGCCTTTCTTGGGGTCGTGAGTGGCGGGCTGGCGGGCACTGAAGTGGGCGGGCGGGCTTCCAGGCAAGCGAATGAGCGGAACCCACTGGGCGGGTGTGGGCAGGCTGAATGTCAAAGCGGGCGAGTCGGGGTCGGGCGGGCGGGCCTTGATGGGTGGGTCGAACGAGCGCGCCTCAACTGACAGGGGAAGGTTTCTGCTTCCGATTCTTGTACCTTTTCCTGGGAATATGAAACCAGGATATGGATTCCTTAGACAGTGTGGCTCAAGCTGGAAATTTTGTTTGCACGAGTACTCCTTTGTTTCAAGTCGACCCTGAGTGGCGCTAGCGCCGTTGGAGCCGGAGTGGATACGGATGCGACGATAGCGCGCGCGGTTGTTTGCGTGGAGCACTCGGGGATCTTGCCGAGTCCGTCCAGGGACGCAGCGCAGCTGCCACGGATTCATATTTCTTCCAGGACGCCCGACGTAACAGTGAAGATTCTCTGAGGCAAGGCCGCGAAGAAGCGCAAGATGAATCCAATGGAAACGCGGCATTCTTCGGAAACCGGACAGACATCTGCCGCAATTTGAGTTGCTATCAGCACGCGGGCGAGGATGTTCCAGGCGACACCAAGAAGTGTTTCCGCTCGGCGCATTAGGAAATGCAAGGGAGATTGGACGGACTCCGAGTACATCTCAAGAAATCTATAGGACACCGCCGGAAGCCGCTCCGGAAACCGTGCGCGTTTGAAACCAATCCAAGCGAGAGCTTTAATGTTTGCGAGAGTTTCAGAGGGGGGGGGAGGGGGGGCGCGCCCCGCTTAGGAACCCGAGTCCCTCCGCCCGCCAGGCCGACACGAATCTGTAGAAAGCTCAAGGGGTGATCTGTTGAAACAGGATTCTCTTAAACCGTTTCTTGACAGAACGCGCAACACTTCTCGGACGCTGCCTCTTCCTGTGCCTGAATTGGCGCTAATGGGCGGGCGGACCCTAGCTCACCACCCACCAAACCACCCCAACCCAACCCGAAGGCTCAGATTTACCCTCGATTTCCAGTGGGGGGGGGGGTCGGGAAACATCGAAAAAAACACGAGTGGAACCCTTACCCCCCCAACCCGAAATTCGGGTCTTCGGGTTGGGTTGGGGTGGTCTGGTAGGTACTCACTAGCGGGCAGGGCTCGTGGGCGGGCTCACACGGGCGGGTCGGGCGTGCGGAGCATGAGTGATGGCGGCGAGTAAGTTCCGGGCGAGAGCGCGGCTTTGTGCTTTGCGAGAGCGCGGTATGGAAGCACATGGAGGATGTCCACAGCGAGGCCACAGTTCTTAATACAGTGTACTCCGGATTTCGTAAGAAAGGGAGGGGGGCCTCATTTCGGGGGGGGTCTCTCTTCCAGGCTATCTTGGAGGGCCTGGGGGGTCTGGGGACGGGGGAGGTCTGAAATGGCTTGTCCTTGAGGGTCCAGACCCCCTCCCTTTTATTACGAAATCTGGAGTATGCATGTCTGAGTCGTTGAAAAGCTCCGTGAATAAATTGACCATGGCTGCACGCGAGAGCGCGATTTCTGACAGGCTACATGACAATACCCGAGTAAAGTACGAGGGGCTGCCACCGAAGAGCGATACTCTTGCGTACGAGAGCGCGATGCTTTGACGATGTATGAGGGAACGTAAACATCATATGACAGCCGGGTCATGCACTTGAGTTGGATAACGCGATGGGTTCAGCTGGGGGGATCACCAACCATTGTTCTTCACAAGAGGGTCTTCAATGACAATGCTAATTCAAACGCGGTCCGTTTTATATGTTCGCGTGTCTTTGAGCATATGTGGCCTAAATGTTTGAATATCCTTCTTCGTCTATGCACGCGTTTTTGTTTTTGTTGGTCAGGGAGTTCTTTTACGCCAGCGTTCAGATGAAGTCGGGCAAGGTACGTCGGGCGGATCGGGCGGGCAGATTTTGACGGGCAGTTCGGGCGGGTGGACACGACCGAGCGTCGGTTAGGACACTCATACGGGCGGTCTGGACCGGGCGGGCGGATCTGAACGGGCGGGCTGGGCGGGCGGGACCTTCAAGCTGGTTGGCGGGCCTCCAAGCAAGAGAGCGCACCGTGTCCGGCAGGCCAGGCGGTCGGGGCATGAAACCTGCCTGGCGGGCTTCTAAGCAAGCGAGCGCACCCTCCTCCTCCTCCTCCTCCTCCTCGTCCTCCTCCTCCTCCGCCTCCTCCTCCTCCTCCCCCTCCTCCTCCTCCTCCTCCTCCTCCTCCCCCTCCCCCTCCTCCTCCTCCTCCTCCTCCCCCTCCCCCTCCTCCTCCTCCTCCTCCTCCTCCTCCTCCTCCTCCTCCTCCTCGTCCTCCTCCTCCTCCTCCTCCTCCTCCTCCCCATCTCCTCCTCCTCCTCCTCCTCCTCCTCCTCCTCCTCCTCCTCCTCCTGACGTGCGGGTTGGGCGGCCGGCTCAAATCAGAGCGGGCGGGCTTCCAAGCAGACGACGGGGCGGGCCTGACGGGTGGGTCGGGCGGGCGGGCTTGGCAGGGCGAGCGGGGCAGGTCTGCTGTGGGGAACCTCGGGCCAGACCACGGCCCTTGAGCGGCGAGAGCGCGATTCTCAGTACGTTTATGATGTCCCAACCTACTTTAGCCTAGATCACCAGGAAGAACTTCGAGCACCCAAAAAAGTACCGAAACCCAAGGGTTTTCACCTGTCGGCCCCTGGGAGACACTCGTCCGACACTGTTTCGACACTCTATGACACTTTTCCGGGTGCTCGGAATCATTTCTGGGATGCGGTCCTTGGGTAGGATGGGACCAACATAACAGTATGTTTGAGGGAGTCTTCGGCGGGAAGGCGACTCTTCTGTCGATTGCGCAAGGAGGTCCCGACCGAGAGCGCGATTCCTGAGCACATTGTGAGGAAGTTTCGGACGGGAGTTGTTGTTGTTGCAGCCCAGGGGCCCAACTACGCAGCTTGACGCCGTAGGCTTGACCTGGCAAAGCCATGGTGTGGGAGCCCTGGGGGACATTCATTTTGAACACATTCTGAGCTCCGGTGGGGAGAACAAGCATGCAAGTTTTCTCTCGAAGCTCGCGCACGTCCGTTTCCTTTCTCGTTGTTGCCCTCTCGATGGCTCCCTCCGTCCTCTTCCACCCCACTCCAGTAGTCGACCTAACCGGTGTTTTAAAAATTTCGTGGGTCGTTTTGGGTTCGAATTCGTTTTGCAGCAAAGGCGGATCAGAGACAAAACTAGGGAAATCGGCAACAAAACGAAAACGAAACACATTGTTCAGGTCGGTCCCTGCCCTCTCTTGCTGCCGTGAGACCGCCGTCCCGAGAAGAGCGCTTCGCGCATCGTGTTGGGCCCCAGATGCTGAATGTCTCGGCACAGTTGCCGTCCGCGGCAGCAGTCAGAAAGGCAGTTCACACCCTGTAGTTTTCGTGTGGACGCTCTTAGGGGGGCGCGCGCGCGCCTCAGGGCCGACTTCTTCTTTTCCTTACCTCATTCACTGATGGTCTTTATTGTGCTTTCCTCCGTCATCACCCACACTCCTTCTCCTGCCCCGAGAGCCTCGTCCAGAGACGAGTGTTTCGCGCACCGTTCCTCGCCTCGGCTAGCGGAGGCCTCGACGCAGTCTCCGTTTGCGCCGGCAAGTTGTCATACGAGTCGGCAGATTCTTGCTGTGTGGCTAGTGCGGGGCCTCCGCGTGCGGTCGGGCCATGATTTTTTTGGCCGCTTGGCGCAGGAGAGCCAGGGGTTGCTCTTTGCTCTCCGTGGCGTGGGTTGGCACCACGATTGGTAACCTTTTGTATACTCTGTCGCTGCAGCAGGATTTCTGGTGCGACGACCATCCGGCTCCCCAAGGCTCCTTTTCTGCCTCCTCCTCGTCCTTCCTCCCTTCAGCGGCCAGCGAAGGGGGGGGAGGTGAGAAGGAGAAGGCCTCCTCAGAGGGCGGCGGGGCTTCTCAGAGCTTCCCCGGCCTGCTGAGAAGTGCTCTGTGTCTTCGGGGCAGGCTCAGAAAATTTCTCAGCAGCCCTGGTGACTTCCGAGCCCCCACCTAAGACCTGCCCCCCGTCACCTCCCCCGCGGGCGCGCCGCCGACCGCGGTGTTCGTCGTCGTCGTCGTCGTCGTCGTCGTCCTCGACGTCGTCGTCGTCGTCCTGGTTCTCCCTGGTCCTCAGCTCGCACGGGTGCGGCCCACGGCGTGGCGTGGCGCGCTGCGACCATCTCACGGGTGGAGACGTGCCTTGCCGAGCGTGACTCAGAAATATGGGAAAATATGGGGGATAATTTTATTTGTGTGTATTTATTTGTGTGTCCCAGTTCCCCTTCAGTGACGCATGGTCAGATTTCGGCACGCAGGGCCTTCGGTGTGTGGCGCGGCTTGGCGCTACGGCCGGCACCCCTGCGCCGTCAGCCCATGCCGATGTAGGCCTCGCTCTTCACAATGTTCACGTGCGTTGTGCAGAAGCCTGGAGACCTGCAGCCAGCGTCCCATCCCGCAGCAATCCAGCTTGCAGATTTTGCCAGCTTGCGGCGGTTGAATAGGACGGCTCCGCAGCGAGGGCCCCAAAGGGGCCTTACGGGGCCCCCTTCATTCAGGGCCCTTGTCTTCACCCCCCAGTGCGACCCACCCAAGGCGGGCGAACCACAGGCATAACGGGCGGGTCGAGCGGGCGGACCTTGACGGGCGGGCCGGGCGGGCGGACCGTGATCGGCGGGTCGGGCTTGCGGGACATTCGAGCGGCCGGGCGGCGAGGACATCCCAGGCGAGAGCACGCTGCTGGAGCGGCGAGAGCGCGACCCTTCAGTGTGTGATCAGGGGGGCCCAAGCGAGCGCGCAGCTCCTGGGTCAGTCGCAAGGTTGTCAGGAGGGGAAAAACACAGACTCAATTAATCGTCGACTCCCAGGAAAGAATGGTAAAACATGAGAAAATATTGGGAATCCTCTTATTTGTGTGTATTTATTTGTGTGTCCTTGGGCCCCTTCAGGTTGTCTCGAGCGCGAGCGCGATGCCGAGGTAAGCTGCGAGGAGCTCCCGGGCGGGAGCCGCTGCCGGGGCGAGGCATGCGGCGAGGGCGGCGCCGCCCTGGGAGAGGCCTGCAGGAATTCAGTCTTATGTCGGGCGTGTCCCCCTACATGGGGATTCTCGGCGAAAAAAAACAAAATACCCCCAAAAGGCAAAAAAAACTCAAAACATAGTCCCCCGACGATTTTTTTACCATTTTTTGGGGGCGGGGCGGGGTATTGTTCATTTTTCGTTGAAAATCGCCCTGTAGGGGGACAGGCCCGACTTAAATTTAGCCTGGCAGTTGACGCTGGTTCGATCCTCGGTGCTCGATCCTCGGTGCTCGATCCTCGACCCTCGATCCGCACAGTGAGGATGAGCAACTTTCCAAGGATACCCTTGCATCCCTGCCCCTTCGGCCCATCCTTCTGCACGAACGAGATGGGCACGGAAAGAATGGGTATGATTCCCAACAGCAGTTCCTGTTCATTTTGAACAGGTCTCGCTGTCCGCGCCGCCGCGGCATGTGTCCATCTGAGACAGAAGGCCGCCTGCCCAACAGCGGCCGCTGTCGGTTTGGGACAACATTCGTTGTTCGGCATTGTGCTCATTTTTCCGTACCCATTTCGGGCGTCCAAAATACTGGTCGGTTTTCGTTGACCGGCCTCGTTCGCAAAGCGTCAGCGTGGCTCTCCAAGGCCCTTGCAGCCTTGCCGCACGTCCTCATTGCACGGGTTGGCTGCAGCACGGGTCGGCATGTCGAGACCACGGTCGCGGACTTGAACGAGTGTGGGCAACCAGATCCGGGACTTCGACCTCGGGCTCAGAGTGTGGGCTTCCATTGCGACTGCCTTGCACGGAGTCGCTAGCAGCAGGTTCTGCTCCAAGAGTCACCCCGGCCGCGTCGCAACGGATACACATTTGCACGTACATCCCACTGATGTGCGGTCATCTTCTCTCTCGTGGATTGGACTAGCGCTGCTTCCGTGAAGTGGGCCTAGATCTGGGGCCCAGATCTGGGGCCACCGACTCCTGCACAAAGATTTGGAGTCCCGAAACGGTGCGGTGACAGACCGTGCGGTGACCTCGAACCCCCCCAAGACCTCACCGCACGGTCCGTCAACGCACGGTTTTGGGACCTCGGATGCCCCCAGTCGCCCGAGACGTCCTCGGAGAATGGCCCGAGTCCCGAAATCGTGCGGTGACCCCGAAGCCCCACCGACTCACCACACGGTGTGCTCACCACCCCGTTTGGGGCCCTCCAAGAGGCTCCGAGGCCCAGTGTTCGGTCTGGTCCAGATCTCGGGCCCGGAGTGTGGGGCCAGATCTCCGGGCCCAGACGCCGAGGTCCCGGGCTGCCGATGTCTGCACAGAGTGCCCGAGGCCCGAGAGCTCGGCCATGCCTCGCCGCCGGGCGCGCACGGGGAGAAGCGCCGCTGGCCGCACCAGGGCGCAGGCGCTGCCGCTGGGTGACTCCGACCCTTCGATGCGGTCCACGTGCTCCGCACAGCGTGCGGTCGGTGCGCGTCGGGTCGTCCGTCGGCGAGCCCAGCGCACGCGCTTGTTTCAGGTTTAACGGCGCCCGCGGCCCAGAATCGGCCCGTGTTTGAGCGACCTGGCGTTAATGGAACGGCCGATCGTTCAAGTTTGAACAATCCCCGCGGTGTCAGAAAACAACGCCGGGGTCGACACGACGCGAACCTGCCGCAGCCGGGCCGTACGAAAGGGTATGACAGGGAAAGGGGGGGGGTACGAAGTCTGCTGCGTGCAGCCAGTCTCCGCCCCGCCGCGGGGCCCATGCCCCACGTCTCGATCCATGGGCGCGCCGCCCTGCGCCGGGAGGCGCCCGGCGACGCTGGCGAAGGTTGAACTCCGCATGATGGAATTGAGTCGGGCATGTCCCTCTACAGGAGGAAACCTCAAAAATAGGCAAGAATAGTCCGGGGGCTATGTTTTCTTTGTTTCTCTCCAAGATCCGCCTGTGGGGGGACATGCCCGACCTGATGATAGAACGACGCGGGAGCACCGAGGGGCACGGTAACGCCACAGGTCCCGATAGAATTCGACATTTTGCGATCGGGTCCGCGGTCGGTTCAAGGTTGGACGGTCGACGCGGTGTCGAAAACCCTTTTGCGCGCGCCGACGCTGCAAAAATACCGTAAGCGTGGACTCCGCAGTGTGTGATGCTCTTCCGGCGCGCGCCTCAGGGTTGGTTGTTCGTGTTCGTTATTTCATCGATGCTAATGTTCATCCTTCCTTCCTTTCAACGCTGCAATAGGATGGTGGAATCCCAACTCTCGGAGGCCTCGATGCAGTGACCTTTTGCGGCAGCGCTCTGTCATCCGAGTGCAGTTTCTGGTTTTGTGGCATCTGCGGGGCTTCTTGCGCAGGAGAGCTAACATGCTCTACGGCGCGTCGCCGCAGTTCAGCAAAATCGCACGGGTGAAGCATATGAGCCAGACGCGTGAAAGAGGCTACGGTATTGGGGTCCTGATTTCTTGTGCGTCTTCGTGTTTGGCAGCAATTCATGGAATTATCGTCGCTCAGCGTCGGATCGCAAGAGCCAGCATGATGACAGGGTGAGCTGCCGCAGAAGTTCGCTTCTTCCTCGTCCTTCCCCTACTCCTCATCTCGCAGGATCTATTTCGATCCGATCATCGATCCGATCCACCACTTTGACTGAACGACGCGGGAGCACCGAGAGTCACGGTAACGCCACAGGACCCGATGGAAATCAACCTTGAATGATCGGGGCCGCGATCGGTTCGAGGTTGACCGGTCGACGCGGTGTCGAACAGATTTGCGCGCGCTGACGTTGCAAGAACATACCGTCAGTGTGGACTCCATCCACAGTGTGTGATGTTTTTGTGGCGCTCGCCTCAGAATTGGCTGTTCGTGTTCGTTATCTCATCGATGGTCACATTCGTCCTTCCCTCCTCTCAGCGCTGTAATAGAATGGTTGGTGGAAGTCCAACCATCGGCCCCGAGTCTGTCACCTTTTGTGGCAGCGCTCTGTTATATAAGTCGGCAGTGTCCTGTCGTTTGGCAGATGCGGGGTCTGTAAGTGCGGTGCGACTAAAAAATGCGTACCGCTTGCGCAGGAGAGCCACCTGGCTCCCAAGCGCAAAAGCCAGTTCAGAGTGCGTCGCCACATTCTGCAGATGCGCGCGGATGGAATTGGACTTTTTTCTCTGGTGCGTGTGGGGCCAGGATGACGCGCGGCCACCAAGACAGTCTCGCAACCACAGTTTTTGCCGACGGATCTGCCAAGCTGGGTGCATGGAATAACCTTGATTCGCAGGGATGCGGTATTTTGCGCGGCTTGGCGCGACGACTGGAAACCCTGCGTATCACTTTACTACGCGCCTCTGGTGCGATGACCACGCGATCGTCGGTCTTCTGGTGACCCCTGGAGCGTCTTCGCTTTCGGTAGCAACTCATGGGATCAGAGTCGGTCAGCGTCTTTGCGCGTCGATTCGCAAAGAGCCAGCAAGGTGGCCTGGCAAGCCCCCATGATCTGCACAAGAGTTTGTTTCCTCCTGGTCCCTCATACTCATCTCGCAGGGTCTATTTCGATCAGGTCGATCCGATCCATCGAATCCAGCTAGCCCGATCCGATTCGATTCCGATATTCTGGGGTTCCCATGCGGCCCGATGCTTGTATGGCGCTGCCGTGCATCCCGGCGCAGCTGATCCAGTTCGATTTCGACTCCACGCGGATCGTTCGGACGCGTGCACTTCTCTCGGCGGGGCCCATCGAGGAGCATCCTGGACCATCTTGCAGAAAAGACACACCCACGAAACCGAACAGTGCATGGGCAATGGACGTCCGAGCAATGGCGAGGAATGGAGACGGAGAGTCTGCTCGTCCGGAACAAGGTCAGTTGTCGTTCGGGCCCACTGGGCAACACATTTCGTCTTCTTGTCATTCGGTCTTGCTCCTGTAACGGCACTGGCTGAGTTGCCGTCGTAATGGTTCCGAGGGATCGCTGTTCTTATCTCACATGCGCAGGCATTAGTGTTGGGCATCGTGCCCATACTGTCTGTTCCCTGACAGGCGTGCAAAACGATACGTCTCACTTGTTTGTGTTGTGCCCTCGCATGCTAGATGCAATAGCCTCGCGGCATGATGTGGAGTTTGTTCCAATGTCCTCGCGGTTTCGTGCTAAGGATGCAGGCTTGGTTGCGCCGAGCCAGGGCTCCAGGATTCTCGGAATC